CGCTGTCCCTCAGCTCTTCAGCTCAAGGCGAGCGCTCTACCACTTGAGCTACAGCACCACTTCCGGTTTTCTAGTGGTTTATTGGAGATAGGAGTCTCACGCCCGGGCTGGCTTTGAACCGTGATCCTCAGATCTCAGCCTCCTGAGTAGCTAGGATTACAGGCGTGAGCCACTAGCTCCCGGCAACTGTTATTTTCTTTTTAATGCACTGGTCCTGGGGCTTGAACTCAGGACTTGAGTGCTATCTCTGAGTTCTTTTGCTCAAGGCTAGTGCTCTACCACTTGAGCTATAGCTTCTACTTCTGAGCTATAGCTTCTATTTCTGACTTTTAGCTGGTTACTTAGAGATAAGAGTCTCATGGACTTTCCTGCCTGGGCTGGCTTTGAACCCCAATCTTCAGATCTCGGCTTTCTGAGTAGCTAGGGTTACAGTTATGAGCCACTGGTGCCAGGCTGTTTAACTTTTTGTTGTTGTTGTTGGTCATGGGGCTTGAACTCTGGGCCTGGGCATTGTCTCTCAGCTCTACAGCTCAAGACAAGTGCTCTACCACTTGAGCCACATTGACACTTCCAGTTTTCTGGTGGTTTATTGGAGATAAGAGTCTCACGGACTTTGCTGCCCAGGCTGGCTTTATACATTGATCCTCAGTCTACTGAGTAGCTGGAATTACAGGTGCGAGCCACCAGCGCCTAGCTGTTTAATATTTTTTATCAGTATTTTATTCATATATTTCACATAATCTGACAGTTTTAGAGATTTGGAATGAAAACCTCAGTTCTAGCCAGGCACTAGAGACTCATGCCTGTAATCCTAGTTACTCAGTAGACTGAGATCTGAAGATGCAGGTTCAAGCCAGCTTGGATAGGAAAATCTATTCAGCTGAAAAATACCCCAATATATTGACCCCAACATATGTAGACTATTTTTGTAACTCAAAATTAAAATGATTCTATATCATTTCTACAGAAAATAAAGGGCTTTTTGTTGCTTGATTGGGTTGGTGGGGGAGTGTATGTGCTAATGGAGCTTAAACTGGGGGCCTTATGCTCTCAGTCAACTTTTTCTCATGGCTGGCACTTTTCCACTTAGGCCACACATCCAGTTCCAGTTTTTTGCTGGTTTGGAGATGAGAGTCTCTCAAATTTGTCTGTCCAAGCTGGCTTAGAATCCTAATCCTCAGATCTCAGCCTCCTGAGTAGGATTATAGGTGTGTTAATTTTTTGTGTAGTAGTAAGGCCCTGAACTCAAGATGATAGGCATATCTCATTGGGGCCAGCCAAAGCAATGTGTTTAAAAGTTTGTTTTGTAATCATGTGGTTATAGCTGTTCTGCTGCATGTTCTAAAGCTGTCTTAAAATGTTCCATTTATTTAAAATTTTTAGAAATCCCTGTTTAATCTCATCATCCAAAATGCTTATAATATACATTATAATTATATAATAGAAAACCTATGAAAGATTTGAAAAGTTATATTCATTATGATGAAGTAAATCCCTAAACAGTTTTACTCATGGTATAATCCCTGAGTTATTGCCTTATCTATAGGTCTTTGGTCATTTGTCTGGTACTTTGATACATTGGTACATTTCTCCGAGTATATAAACAAAGTCATGTAGACTTTGGCTAACAGCTTGTAAGGGTATCTTCCTTCTTGGGTAGTCTAATTCTTCTGCATTGGGAATATTCTGGGATGTTCACCTCTTTGTTTCTTTGCAGAGTATAGTGTTTGAGACCTCCATGAAGAAGGAAACTATAGCACAGGAAGATAAGACGAAGCTACTGAAAGCTGCTTTTCTGCAGTACTGCAGGTACATAATGTTTTGGTTTGTTTGCATGTAATACTTAGCTGCTCCAGTCCTCAGGTCCTGACCCCATAAACTGGTAGATGGTGTATAGAGGCTCCTTACTGAGGTGACTGAAGTTAGGCTCTGAGTGCCTGCATGGTTTAATTTTGCCTCGTTAAGTTTTCTGCCTGAGAAAGTGATTTTGTTTTATTAAGTAGCAGTCTTAGCCAGGCATTGGTTGCAATCCTAACTACTTGGATCCTAGTTACTAGGAAGGCTGAGATCCAGAGGATCATGGTTAAAACCATCCTGAGCAGAAAGGTTCACATGACTCCATCACCACTTACCAGAAAAGCTGAAAGTAGAAGTGTGGATCGAGTGGTAGTGTGCCAGCCATGAGCACAAAAAGTGGACAAGAAGTCTCAGCCCTGAGTTCAAACCCCAGTATTGGCACATACACACATGTGCGTGCACACACAAGTAGTGGCTGGGTGCTAGTGGCTCATACTTCTCACACCTGTAATCCTAGCTACTCAGATCTGAGGACTGCAGTTTGAAGCCAGCCTGAGCAGAAAAGGACCCATGAGACTCCTATCTCCAGTTTGTCTAGCTTACCACTTGAAAACTGGAAGTGGAGTTGTGGCTCAGAGTGGTGAGTAGTAGAGAGTTCAAGCCCTACAATTGACCAAAAAAGAAATTGTAAACTTCTTTTTTCCCCCTTCCCAGTTACACAGTTTGTGTGCAGGTCATCACATTTACTCAGTTTGCTAGCTGACTGGCACTCTACCACTTGAGGTACACGTCTTACCTAATTGTTTGCTGGCTAATTGGTGATGAGGTCTTGTGAATTTTTCTGCCCTAGTTAGCTTCAAACTATGATCCTCTGGATCTCAGCCTCCTGAGTGGCTAGGCTTACAGAAGTGAGCCACTGGTACCCAGTAAGTACTAATAGTGTTTTTTGTTTTCTTTACTTATCAGTCTTATTTTAAAAATTGGATTACTTTTTAAATTGCACATTTATGTTTTAATTACCATTCTCATTAACAATGTAGCAAGTATATAGTTCTTAAATTTGTTTCTTGTAGCTACCAAAACAAATTGCCATAAGCTGAGTTAGAACAACAGAATTTTGGAGACCAAAGCCTGAAATAAGGGGGTCAGCTCTTTTTGGACCCTGGGGGGGAATTTTTCCCACTTGTCCTGGCTGCTTGGTTTGTAGGTGGCTTGCTTCTGTTTCCATTGTCACATGACTTCTGCATACTGTAACTGTCAACACATAACCTTATTGGGACTAGACATCAGATGTTAGGGCCCACTCAAATCCTTCTTAACTAATCCTGTCTACAAAAGTCCTCATTCCCGGTCTCGTCTCTTAAGGCTTTAAACGTGGGCATAAATGTGGTGAGTGTGGTAGCCTGTTCAACTCAGTGCCATCAGCTTAAGGTCTCCGTCAGGGACATGGTCTCAGCCTGCATCTGTGAGCAGTCTCTGAAGCAGCATCACAAGACATCTAGCATGGCTGTGCTCTTCACTCCTGCGAGCCACATTCATGCCACTGCTGGGGATGCAGAATCTTCATAGGAGAGTCATGCTGCTTCTGAAATGGAGTCTCAGCCCCAAGTTCTGTAGGAACTGCCTAACTGGGTTTTTTTTATCCTGCCTTGTCTGCCATCTAACCTTCTCCATACATCATAGAATTGGAAAGGTCTTTGGGAAAACCAGAACAGACTGTGATAGCTAAACCCCTAGTCTTTCCAAAGATTCCTTGGGTTTGATTATAAACCCCACACTGTGGCTTACAGGGTATCATGTCCCTTCTGAATATGAGTCATGCTTGTTCCACTTGGCACTCTCCTTGTCCGCTATTGGCTCTACCTTGTTTCAACTTTAAAGCATCTCCTTTGTGAGAACTTACCTGTCCTTCACTTTGTTGACTTAGAATTTCTCTTCTAGACTGTCCTTCCTGGGTGATCTGTTCCTCTTTCATTGCTTCAGGTTTCGGAGGCACAGCTTCCGTGTGAGCTGATGGGCACAAGTGCATACCTGCCACATTCTCCCCATCTTCCCCTGGTCTCTTCTTCCACATCAAGCCTTGTATACACAGAACTTCGTGACAGTTTGTTTTCCCTTCTGTGTGCTCTGTAGCCCTCTGTTTATACCTGTCCTCATGCTTCTCACAGATGTACCCTTGCTTTCCAGTTGTCTGAGACTTTATAAAGTCTAGGACTGACTTCAGCATTTGGTGTCCAGAGCCTAGCATGCTGTAAAGATCCAATATTTTATGAATTAAGACTACACAGTAAATTTGTGTATGTATGTATATGCCAGTGTTGGGTCTTGAAGTCAGAACTTGGGTGCTGTCCCTGAATTTATTTCATTCAGGGGTAGCACTCTACCACTGAGCCACAGCTCCAATTATGGCTATTTTTGAGTAGTTTGGTGGAGATAAGAGTCTCATGAACCCTCTTGCCCAGGCTGGCTTCAAACCTTAGTCCTCAGATTTGAGTAGCTAGGATTACAGGTGTGAGCCACCAGTACCTGGCTGCTTTATCTTTTGAGTTACATAAACGCTACACACAGTGCTTGGGCTACAACTTAACACATGGGACCTTAATTTCATATTTTTTTCTGTGATAAGTTTTGAAATGTTTTGCCTCTTTTTGTGCAGGAAGGATGTAGGTCGTGCTCAAATGATGGTTGATGAGCTGTTTTCCTCTCGTTCTGACTTGGGTTCTGATTCTGAACTAGACAAGGCTGTGACCCAGATCAGTGTGGACTTGGTGGATGACTACCCAGCTTCTGACCCTCGGTGGGCAGAGTCTGTCCCTGAAGGTAATGAGACCTTGATTACCTGAGTATTGGGAGTGATATTGAAATAATCTGTTTTAAGTAGAGTATTTGGTTATGTGTTCAATGTATCTCTCAAAAAAATATATTTTAAAAGCTTAGGTACATGATAGGGTGTGACCTTGACAGTGATTGGTTCCTCTTCCTCCCCTGCCATGTCACCTGCTCCTTTTTGGCTTTAAAAAGGGCTGCTCTCTGTTAATAAACGAGTTTTTCTTCCTGCTTGAATATATATATATATATATATATATATATATATATATTTTTTTTTAAGTTGGGCACTGGTGGCTCATGCCTATAGTCCTAACTACTCAGGAAGCTAAGTGAGGATTGCGATTCAAAGCCAGCTCAGGTAGAATGTGAGACTTTTATCTCCAGTTAGCTACCAAAAAACCAGAAGTGGCACTGTGGCTCAACGTGTTAGAATGCTAGCTTTGATCAGGGACAGCACCCTGGCCCTGAGTTTCATGCCCTACAACTGACCAAAAATTTTTTTTAATTTTTTTTTTTTTTTACTTTCTCAAGTAATTGATATTAATTACTGTTCTTAATAGATTTTGAAAAGAGCTGAGAAAAGATGTTAAGGTAGATTCTAGAGGACACTAAGGCAAGTTCTAATTATTCTTTCTGGACAAATTGCTTTGCTTTCCTCTTTTTCTTTTTTTTTAATTTTAAAATTGTTATTGTAAAGGTGATGTACAGAGGGGTTAGAGTTACGTAAGCCAGATAATGAGTGCATTTCTTTTTGGACAGTGTCACGCTTTCCCTGACTCCCAGTTTTTTCCTGCAGTCTCTGCCCACAAGTAGTGTAGTTCATTTTCAACATAGTGTCTAATGAGTACCACTGCTATGTTTGTTCACCTTTTGTCCCTTCATTTCTGTGCCCTCTCTTATCCTCCCAAAGACAGATAAACAAGACAAAAAGAAAAAACAACAGCAAAGGAAGTGGCGCTGTGGCTCAAGTGGTAGAGCACTCGCCTTGATCTGAAGAGCTGAGGGATAGC